CGATATTAGTTTTGTTTTCGGCAACTTTTTTTTCTAGTTCGGTGTGTTTTTGGTGTAAAGAATTTATTTGTTCGCTGGGTAAGTAAAGCAGGGTTTTAGAAAAGCGGTTCTCCGCTCATACCACGGAAGAATTACTAAGTAGTTTGTTATTTAGTATGAATTCCGATACGCTGAATTTCAGTTTTTTTAGTCTCGTAAGAAAAAATCGTAATTAGTAATTTTTTTGGATCCGAGACCAGAGGGGGAGAACAAAAAAACCCTCTTTTGGGCGGGACTATAAGTGAAGAAAAAGCAGTTCGCTATTAGAGAGATATAGTAAAAGTAAAGAATTGGTTAGATTGCTCTAAACAACTTTCTTTTGCTGGCAGCCGAAGCAATAAACATTGCGAAGGTGTTTTAGTTTCATTTCCAAAATTCCTGTTTTGAATAACAACTCAAAAGCGAAAACCAAAACCCTCATTTCTCACTTATCCTATCGGATTAACGTTCGAAACTCGGTCCAAAGGTAGAAAACAATTTTTACAAAATTACTTTCTTATTTAATTCTTACAAATTTTTCTGGCGGAAGTTGATAATTCCTTGCTTTTTTTGCCCAATGAAACAAAATGAAACCTATCTAGACTCCCCAAGAGAGTTTTTTCCAAATTCCCCGCCCCAAGAAAAAGAGATCACTGCTGAAAACCAGCAGCGAATTAAAGTCTTAGCCAATATTCAGGCCAAATTCAATAAGTGATGTTGGTATATCGTCGGTTGTGTCACTTCTTACTTTGTTCTCTTCCTAATTTCCAAAGGAATTATTGGCTGAGTTAAACCTCACGCGAAGAATTATTTCACAAATGATTTAACTGCAACCATTGTCTGAGTAATTTTAGGCTTTTGCTACGTCGCCGACAGTTGAGCCACCAGTTATTTAAAAAGTGCTTTACAGCGGCTGGCTTTTGGCATAGAAAAATCCTTTCTCGCCGAAAAGTTAAAAGACAAACTCTTAACCGCTACCCAAGACATAAACGAACTATTCAAAATGAACTTTCAAAGGTTCGGTTTAGCAGTAGTTCCGTTTTTGTTAATTGGAATTGTTGATAATGGAAAAGTGCAAGTTATTAATCAAGACCAACAAACTATCGGCACGGTGGTTTTTCCAAAGAAGAGGAGTGAAGGTTGACTTTTTTATATCTGCTACGCAATTCCGATGATATTAGCCACTTACAAAATCTGAAAAATGAATAGCATTTTAAGGCAAATAGAAGCCGATTTTTATTCTAACTATGAAAAAATTTTGAGAAACAATTAAAAAAAGCAGCAAAGGTGCCTTAAACTTTCTTGAAAAGGGTAGTAGTACAATTTTAGGAGTAGCAGAGGAAGCCTTGAAAAATCCACTATCACGAAGCATTATATCATCAGGACTAGGAATGATACCTGGCTTAGGTGGAGTATTAAAACTAGGAGTGGATAAATTTGGTGATAAACTTCACCACGTAGCAGACCGTGCAAAGGACTGAATTGTTGACAGTAAAGTCAGTGGTTTACAAGAAACAGCCTCTGCCCTCAAAAATTCTCAATCTTTACTAAACGGCCAAGTTACCGAACTCCAAGCTGGCCTCCAAGAAGCCAAAGACCGCGAATTAGAATTAGCCGCCGCCCAGCAAAGATTAGCCAGTGAACTAGCTAAT